ATGTCACCAATATCAACATGCATGGAGCACCTTGCTCTAAATTAAAGATCACAAGAAATAGCTTTCATAGAGATTGTTAACTAAATGCTTTGGCATCTCAAATAGGTTCTTTTATTCAAGAATGCTACTTTCTAAACTTCTGTCCTAGGGAACTATATTTTCACATAGGAAAAAAAGTCCAAATGGAAAAACAAAGAACAAACATAATGGGTAAATAAGAAATGGAGACAAACAACACAAAAACAGATCAAGACAGATTCAGAAAGTGTTAGAAAATAGAAGAGGTTGTTGGTGTATGAATATGTTAAGTGATTTTAGTGAGGTGTAGTGTAGAGGAGGTGTTTTAGAGTAGAGCTCTTGTCTCTAGAAAAGATATATTGTATTGATGTTTCTTGGTTTGCTTGGTGAGCAAATGAGTACAATGAGTCCTATTTATAGGAGCTAGAGCATCATTCTAGATCCTTATTAAATGCTAGGATTCTAGAGTATTCTACTTCTATTTAATCTAGACTTTCCTTAAGAATTCTCTAGTAGAGAATTCTCTAGAACCTTTTTAGCCATAACTCTCTAGAACATTTATAGCTTTAACTACATAGAATATTCTAGATAAATGCATCACTATTTAATACTCCTCCTTGATGCATTTGTCGGTGACTCCAAGCATTCTTCGCAGAAACTGGAATCTGTCTCTTGGCAGGGCCTTCGTGAAAATATCTGCCAATTGTTCTTCTGTTGGGCAGTACCTCATCTCAATATGCCCCTTTGCTTGGACATCTCTCAAGAAGTGATACTTGATATCGATGTGCTTAGTGCGATTGTGCTGAACTGGATTTTTAGCCATCGCAATAGCTGATTTGTTGTCGCAAAATATCGTAGTTGCAGAACTTTGCAATTCTCCCATGTCTTCTAATATTCTTTTTAGCCATATAGCTTGGCACGCTGCTCCGGCTGATGCAACATACTCGGCTTCGGCTGAAGACAGTGCAACAGAATCTTGCTTCTTTGATCCCCATGAGAAAATTCCAGAACCCAGCTTAAATGCGTAACCGGAGGTGCTTTTCATGTCATCTTGAGATCCAGCCCAATCACTGTCGCTATATCCACTTAGTCGTGAGTCAGGACTTGTTTTGTACCAAATACCATAATTGATGGTTCCTTGTAGGTACCTAAGGAGTCTCTTTGCCGCTCCATAATGAGTCTCAGTTGGACTTTCTATGAACCTTGAGAGCAAGCTTGTAGCATACATTATGTCCGGCCTCGTAGCCGTTAAGTAGAGTAGACTCCCAATCAAACTCCGGTAATTGGTAGCATCCGTTGGCTTTGACCCATCTTCTTTCTTTAATTTCTCATTAGGAACCAACGGTGTAACAACGGCTTTGCAGTCTTGCATTTTGAACTTCTTTAGCATGTCCTTAATATATTTTTCTTGAGATAAGAAGATGCCTTCTTCTTCTTGACTTATCTCCATGCCAAGGAAGTAATGCATTAATCCCAAGTCACTCATCTCAAAGGTGTTCATCATGTCTCTCTTAAATTCTTCAATTAATTTTGAATTATTTCCCGTGACAATTAAGTCATCAACATATAGAGAGATGATGAGAATGTCAGTTTTACCTTGGGATTTGATGTATAGTGTAGCCTCGTTCTTGCTCCTCCTGAACCCTTGACGGGTGAAGTATCCATCAATCTTGCTATACCAGGCTCGTGGAGCTTGTTTGAGCCCGTAAAGTGCTTTCTTTAGACGAAGAACTTTTCCTTCTTCTTTGATGAATCCTTCTGGTTGCTCCACATACACTTCTTCTCTTAGTTCTCCATTTAGAAAGGCTGATTTAACGTCTAGCTGATAAATTTTCCATTTCTTTTGAGCTGCAAGAGCTATGAGTGTTCTTATTGTGTCCATCCGGGCAACTGGTGCAAACGTCTCTGTGTAGTCAACTCCCGGTATTTGAGCATACCCCTTTGCAACCAGCCTTGCCTTATGCTTCTGAATTGAGCCATCGGGGTTCAGTTTCGTTTTGTACACCCATTTGACTCCAATAACCTCCTTGTTATGTGGAAGATCTACCATTTCCCAAGTATCATTCTTTTCTATCATTTTTATCTCCTCCTCCATTGCTTTAATCCAAACTTTTTCTTTGGAGGCTTCAGTGTAACTATGTGGCTCCAAGGAACAAAAGTTGCATGTTTCATAGACGTCAGTAGACTCATATAAGTCTGCTAGAGTTCTTACCCGAAGGGGTGGGGATTCTAGCGAGGAGTCATGTTCGCTTGATGTATTGGCTTCGGAAGAGAATCTTGGAGTAGAAGTGGGACTTTGTTGATCGTGACCTTCTTCTTCTGGGATTTTCTCTATTTGGGTAGTAGTTGTCTTTCTTTCAACTCTTTCCGTCTCCCAATTCCAAGAGGCTTGCTCGTCAAACTCCACATCTCGACTTGTGACCAGCTTCTTAGTCTCGAGATTGTAAATTCTATATCCCTTGGATTTGGAGCTGTAACCGAGGAAGATGCCCTTCTCTGCTTTATCTTCTAACTTGTGCCTTTTTATAGAGGGAACATGAATGTAGCATATGCTTCCGAAGACCTTCAAATGTTTGGCTGAAGGTTTTTGTCCCGACCATGCCTCAATAGGTGTTTTGTTTAAAACCGCCTTAGTTGGACATCGATTGAGTAGGTAGACTGAAGTATACACTGCTTCTGCCCAGAACATTTTAGGCATTCCTTTCTCAGTTAGCATGGATCTTGCCATCTCCATGACTGTGCGGTTCTTCCTTTCGGATACCCCATTTTGTTGTGGAGTGTATGCTACTGTTAGTTGATGCTCCATGCCTTCATCTTCACAGAAACGATCAAATTCTTTTGAGTTATATTCGGTACCTCGATCGCTTCTCAACTTCTTGATTTGATGACCACTTTGTTTCTCCACGAAGTTCTTGAATCTCTTGAATATTCTAAAAACTTCGGATTTTTCTTGAAAGAAATACACCCATGTCATCCTTGAGTAATCATCGATGAAGAGTATGAAGTACCTGTTCTTGGAAACTGAAGGCGTGCGCATTGGGCCGCACACATCGGTGTGGACAAGCTCTAGTATTTGTTTGGCTCTCCATGCTTTCTCTGTTGGAAATGGCTGCCTGTGCTGCTTCCCAACCATACATCCTTCACATACTCCTTCTTTTTCATCAAGTAGCGGCATGTCTCTCATCATATTCTTTTGACGTAGTAATCTCAAGGCATTGAGATTGAAGTGCCCAAATCTTCGATGCCATAGACTTGTATCACTTAGTTGAGCCACCATTGCCTTTTGTGGATATTGCCATTGAATGGGAAAGTTTCTATTATTTCCCATTTTTACTTCGGCAATTTCTTGGTTATTTTTCTTGTCATAAATTCGGCAAGAATTTTTCTCAAAATGTAGGGCATATCCACTTTCCATCATTTGGCCAACACTTAGTAGATTTTGTGCAAGGCGTGGCACTAAGAGAACGTTTCTAATATAGCGCGTACCTTTCTTTGTATCTATGACAATGGTACCTTTCCCTTTTGCCTCCACCAATTCGCCATTGCCCATCTTGACCTTTGTCTTGATAGAAGTGTCTAACTCATGGAAGATGGTTTCGTTGGATGTCATGTGATTGCTGCACCCACTATCGATGTACCACTCTTCTTCTTTTGCTTCCATTGCTGAGTGACATGCGTAGAACATGTACTCCTTCTCCTTAAAATCTTCAGAATAGTTGGCCTGGTAATTTCTTCTATCTCTGCAGTCTTTTTCTTCATGCCCGAACCTCTTGCAGTTTTGGCATTGTGGCTTTCCTCGATGGTAGCAATCTTTCTCTAAGTGATTAGTCTTCTTGCATATTTTGCATGGTGGAAAGTTTGTCTTCCTCTCCTTGTGGTTAGAATTCCCATCTTTATGAGGTTTAAAGTTTCCACCACTTCTTGAGTCATTCCTTTTAATGTTGAGCTTAGACTGGAAGGCACTTTCTAATGAACTTTCATGTCGTCTGTTCAGCCTGTGCTCACGTGCTTCTAACGACCCCATTAATTCAGTGATGGACATTTTTGATAGATCCTTTGACTCCTCAATAGCCGAAACTACTGGATCATATTTTTCAGGGAGACTGATTAAGACCTTCTGGATTATTTTCTCGTCGGTTATGTTTTCTCCAAGAGTTCTCATTTCGTTGACTATATGTATAACCCGAGAGAAATAATCTTTTGCCATTTCAGAATCTCTCATCTTCAAATTTTCGAACTCTCTTCTTAAACTTTGTAATTTAATAGTTCTAACCTTCTCATTTCCTTGAAATTCCTCCTTAAGAATATCCCAAGCTTCTTTTGCCGTAGTAGCACGAATTATTCTCGGAAAAATGGTATCACTAACGGATTGTTGAAGAAGATAGAGAGCTCTAGCATTTTGCTGCTTTTGTTTCTTACATACCTCGGAAGTTGATGCGTCGTCGCTTCCTTTTTCCGGAGTGATGATTCCTTCTTCAACAATATCCTAAAGATCATGTGATTCTAGGCAAGTCTTCATACGGACACTCCAATAGTCGTAGCTTTCTCCGTTGAACATCGGAGTCGATACCGAGAAGCTTGATGTCGCCATAACGCCCGCTTATGATCGAACAGGCTCTGATACCACTTGTTAGAAAATAGAAGAGGTTGTTGGTGTATGAATATGTTAAGTGATTTTAGTGAGGTGTAGTGTAGAGGAGGTGTTTTAGAGTAGAGCTCTTGTCTCTAGAAAAGATATATTGTATTGATGTTTCTTGGTTTGCTTGGTGAGCAAATGAGTACAATGAGTCCTATTTATAGGAGCTAGAGCATCATTCTAGATCCTTATTAAATGCTAGGATTCTAGAGTATTCTACTTCTATTTAATCTAGACTTTCCTTAAGAATTCTCTAGTAGAGAATTCTCTAGAACCTTTTTAGCCATAACTCTCTAGAACATTTATAGCTTTAACTACATAGAATATTCTAGATAAATGCATCACTATTTAATAGAAAGTGTAGGAAAAATGGTTCTTGAAGCCTGATCTGATCGGACTTATGACAAAACAGTGATTTCTATACCAGCACGAAGATCGCAGACGTAGGGAAACTGAGATGCAAACAATACCTAAAGACATACAGCTCCGGCAAAATAACTGAAAGGAGCCCCACGAATATTGAACTTATGTTGGTTCTTGCGGTTAACACTTAAGAATGTCGTTTTGATAGGCTTATCCAGAGATGGGTTGGGTGGCACTTGAGCAGCCAGTACCTCAAGTGAAAAGATTGATACAAGAAGATATTGGTGAAATGTTTTTTCGTCTTGAGCTGTGAGCAGCCCCAAGTAGTCACCGTTCCCCATCTCAACAAATTGGCAGGCCATACGTTTCCTTCTCAATCCTTCCAAGTTGAAGATGCCGTCCACTTTTTGATAACAGGAGCATCCTTTTCCTTCCGTGAAAAGTGCAGCTCCAAATCTTAGAAAGTAGTCAAAGAATCCAAAAACGACATACGTTTCATCATCCAAACCAGGAGCCGAGACAGCACCCACTGGTAAGCCTAAGTCAATAGGAGGACAACCCATCCTCCAAAAAAAAGGGTCATCCTCCGACCATTCCTCTGTCTTTAAATTAAAAACATAAGAACATTCCCCACAGTAGTCAAGAGCGATGAGCAAGTAGAGTTTCTCCCCTATTCGTAAGAAGTCAACCACCCGGTACCATCCCGAAGGGGAACCATCAAAAAAGGGTACTGATTTCACAACCCAACCCTTCTCTGGACAAGCAAAATCAAAAAGTTCAAAAACTTTAGTTGAATATCTCCCACTCGTGCGGTCGTATACGAAACGAGAGCCCATGTGCAGCACAAATACCTTGGTTCCAAACTTTTGGACAATTGGGTGTTTCTTCCCCTCGTTCATACTTGGCATGATTTTAGAAGGAACTATGGACCAGGAACCTTGTTTCACCTCAAAGATTTCCTTGCGAGCGATATTATAGGATGGAGAATAATAGAGATAGTCAGGAACATGGGGCGCTTTACCGCCCACCAACAAAATCCTGGACTCCAGTTCAATCATACCCGCAAAGGGATTTCGTAGCTTCTTCACCGAACAAGATCCAATGCTACTTCCTAATATATTTATCACGAAAAGATGCTTTGGGGATAAAACATACAGAGTGCTTGGGCGATCGATCTTCATACTTTCACCTTCGCTCTCTTCAATCGTTGCACCTGTCTTCATTCCAAAATATGCGTATTACCAGACTGCCGATCGAAGACGCCGGAAGTTGAAGTTGAAGAAGAGGCCGATCGTTGAACTCGCGTTAGGTTTAGAGAGTAGTATATTATGGTTCACATTCCAAAGAAAGAGTAGGGTTTAATGGTTTATAAAGGATCGATACTAATGCAGTCGAAGATCTTTATTCTATTTTAATTCAAATTACCCTATTTTTATTTGTTTAGTTTTGAACTTAAAATCGTTTTCCTATATATAAATGACACCCCATCCCTGAGGGCCCCCACCACCGACCGGACGGCACGATGGGAGGATGTAAATTGGACTATAATCACAATTTGACAGATAGAGAGTGGGGCTCTGTCCCCGATACTTGCAGAGGCCTTATGCATTTTTCAGCATAGTAACCCCTCATCGCAGTTGCCGGGATTCGAACCCGAGACCTAACCCTTGTGGCACTCCCTTGCTACCAGTTGAGCTACGCCCACCGGTAAAACTAAGGTATGGGTACACTTTTTATAGTGACTAGCTCCACCGCTTTCACGGCCCCTTACCCCAGAAACTCAACTTTGGCTTGGCCCTACGGGTTAGTATACACCGCTTGGCCCTACCACTTGAAGGGTTTTTTGGGGGAGCATAGTTCCACTGGTGCTAGTGGGACTCGAACACGAGACCTCTCCTATGCAAGGATAACCTCACAACCAGACTGGAAGTACTAAAATCATAAAAGCATCAAACTACAGATGAAATGTAAGATTTTAGTCATGTATGATATTTAACTATTTATTAATGTAAATTAGATGTCACTTTATAAAGTTTACAAATATTAATTGTTACTTTTAAAGAAACCTAGCTTTGTTGAGTTATGGTCTAAAGTTTTTTAGCAATTCTAATTATAAGGACTAGTTTTTCACCCGTACGTTGCACGGGATGTAATATACATATTTTAAATCATTTATAAATCTTATCATAACTTATCACATGAATGAGAGAAATCGTAAAATATTAAAAGATTAATCAGCACACAAATTAGATTTGGCTGAGGACTTTGTGTATAACGTTTTTTTTTGTAGATTTTCAATTTTTTCATTGCATATCGTGGTGAACCCGCAACATACAATTGTGAATGTGTAAAAAGAGGACATGAAAAACCATACAGTTTCCTACGATTACCCTAGACCCTTGCCTTTTTTTTTTTTGAAATAATGCATGCCGCCTTTAAATTACACTATTTTGTATATTCCACTTTTTTTTACCTGGAAGGCAAACTACCAAACTTAATGGGGTAAATGCCAGGGAACACTTACCTTTAATCTTTAAACATATATAAACTGTGTAAGTTAACCATGTACTAAATAATACGGAATACTTCATATTAAATAAACTATTCAAAACTAACCTCACCCTTGAGTGTTACGTTAGTTAACTAACTAAGAACTTCTAATAAGTCAATTAGTTGACTAAGAGCATTCATATATGCATTGGCCTGGAAAGCCTTTGTGTGGCCTTTGCGTCATGAATAGGGATGGACTGGGACGGGACCTGACCCGCTACTGTGCAGGCTCAGGCAGACGATGTTGGGTCCGAGACTCGGGGCCCGAACTGGGAAAGAGGGGAGGGCAACGGGCTCTGAAATCTATGGACCGGCCCGACTGGTTCGGGATCGGTCCGGACCTGTAATGGCTATTTTCTTTAAAAAAAAAATTAAAGGCTTGGGCTGCATTGTATTTAATGGGACTGGTCCGAGCCGAAATCTATGGACTGGTCTGGGCTAGCTCCGATTGATTTCTAGGAAATGTATTTAATGTTTTAAAATATTATTAATTCTTAAGTGTAGTTCATATTTCAAATAAATATATTTAACTTTTTATTGTCTAGCACTTGTTGTATTAATTTTAAACAAAATTGGCAAAAAAAGTACCCTAGCCCGACCTGAGACCCGCCCGGGTAGCCCGGATCGACCCGGTCCCAACCCGGGCCGATACCGAGCCTGATTTCCCAAACCCTCAGTCCCGCCCAGTCGCCCAGACCCGTCCCGGGCCCGATCCATCCCTAGTCATGAATGTTAGTCAATGTTCTTAGTAATTAATAAGGGGCATGAACAAAAATCATCAAAAGTTATGATCTTTAATGCATATAAAGAAGTTCTTGGTCAACTATTCTCAAAAGTAAATAAAGAATGAATAATTAGTGAGAGACCTCTACTTTATGTCACCTTTCCGTGACCTATAATAACAACAATATAAAAAAATGCATATAACTAAGCAATTGAAGTATTATGATGTGTCTACTCCATCACATCGTGAAACCGTTTCTTTTATTTTGTGTTCATGACTCTTAGTTAATTACGGCATTACTGATTAGTTTAAGAAAACTTGTCATTTACTAAAGTGTTTTACTATTTTGTACTCCGTATATTTTGAACACGCATATACTAATTAAGAACATTCGGCTTATTTTTATTTTAGTACTTATTGCACCCTACCGGACATTGCCTACTTTAATTAAAATGTTTAATTAGAAAAATAAAAATTGTGTTGATGCAATTTATGGTGAGGAGAGATAAATAAGAATAATCATAAATACATTATTTAGAAATTACTTCAAATAGGACTAAGACTATGACAAAAACTCAAAATAGGACTTGCTATGTTTTTTTTCCAAAATAGGACCATAGTGGTCCTATTGGAAACATACTCATTTCTTCCTTCCATTCTTACCTCTCCTTTAAATATTAGTAAAAGATAGCTAAAAGTCATAATTAAATGTTTAATTCATAATAAATTCGAAAAAATTTCAATAATTCGTAGAAAAATAATAAAAAAATTGATAAAATTTTTATAAAATAAAAAATAAGAAAAAAAAATTTAATTTTTTTTTTTGAAAATTAATAAAAAAATAGTAAAACTCCATAAAAAAAATTATAAAAAATATGGATACCTTTCCCACCGCCTGTAGTACCTCCCTGAACCACCACCTCCGATCGGTGTAAAAAATGCCACTTTTTTTTTAAATTCCACAAAAATGGCATATTTCTCTATGAGAATGCCAACATTTTCATTCTGCCAACTTGAATCCTTTTGACTTTTGCCAAAAATATGGCATTCATAATTTTTTTGGCATTTTTTTACCCCGGTGACAGGAGGTGGTGGTACCGCCTCCCTGCACCACCACCTCCGACCGTTAAAAAAAATGTCATATTTCCTACAAACTTCCATTTTTTTCGGAAAATGCCAAAAATATGGCATATTTCTCTTTGAGAATGCCAACATTTTTTTTCTTCCATCTTAAATCATTCTGAATTATGCCAAAAATATGGAATTCATAATAAATTTGGCATTTTTTCCCCAAATGACTAGAGGTGGTGGTGCTGGGGCGGTATAGGCGGCGGTGACAAAAAAAATATTTTTTTGATTTTTTTTTTAATTTTTTTTAATTTTTTTTTAATTTTTTTTAATTTTTTATTTTTTTAAATTTTTTTTTTAAATTTATTATTATTTAAAATATTTTTATTAATTTTTTGGTATATTTTACGAATTTTCATTATTTTTTATTATTTTATTATGAATTAAAACATTCCAATAGGTATAAGGGTATATTTGTCCAAGACAAACATAATTAGTCCTATGGAAACATAGTTTATTTTTTGGTCCTATTTGTGCAAAGTGAATGACTTTTAGTCCTATTTTGATAATTAACTCTACATTATTTTAAGAGAAAAGTTACAAAGTTTTTGACACGCACAAAAAAACGTAAAGTTAGTACTTTAGCCTCTCCTTTAACTTAGTAGATAATTAGTAGTGAACAAAAGAAACATAATGTATACTTATCTCCAAATAATAATAATAATAATTAATAATCACTAAATCACTCACATTTCGTTAATACTAACACAACTACATTAAGTATATACTTCTTTTTTCAAAGAAACACTCATCGAAAATCATTTACACATCCAACATTTAAACAAAAACGATTTTTTCAACTTGTCAAACAACCTATAAAAGGCGCAATTATAACGTCCATATTACTTTTGAAACAAAAATCTTATTGAAATTGCAGAAGATATCTTATGAAAAATTCAAAATTCAAGCTCTTGCACCATCGGCACACAATAATCTCATGATATATGTTATCACCCACGATGTCGTGCCAACTTGCCACCACTTTTTATACCCTTGTCATGCCTCACGTACATCGCCCGATGAGCATATTGTTGCAAATTGCTCCGTAAATCATCTTTATGGAAAGGTTACAATGCCTGCACATAGGATCTCTCAGAATGAGAGAAACAGTTGTTTTTTTACATAGATTGTAAGAAGCAAAAGCCTGTTAGAGACCAAGAGAAGCAGCATACGGTAGAAATAAACTCAAAAGCATTTTAGTCAAGCAAAATAAAAAACTCATAAAGGATCTTATTGCTCTTTATTACACCATGTACCTTATCATAAGGGGTAACCGTACTCCATGTACCTTATAATAGAAAAAAGGGAAAAGGTGCAAATAGGCCCATGTACTAACAAAAAAGGTCAAATAAGCCCTTATTTAGGAGGCTTTGTCTGGCCGTCGCCATTTGGGGTGGTTCCCGTTGGAATTTTTTGATGAAATTTTTTGAGCATCTTATTCATCAAGTCATAGGATGCAAAGTTTCGATGCTTACCACAAAAATGTAAAAGAGGGGAAGACCATATTTAGATACAACCCTTGAAAATACTCCATATAAGAATATAAAATGAATTATTTCTATTCCCAGAAACAAATGATTTAGGGTTGAAAGCTAGGCGATTCACGTACGTAGGTGACAAATTTAGGTTAGTGTTGATGTTGTTTTCTTACTTTGGAGTATGATATATAAAGGCCGTTTATATATTAGAAGGAAAATCCACAGGAAGGATAACACGTTGGAAGCAGAGTATTTTGGAGGCGTGAGAGTAGCGAAAAAAGAGGTGAGGCTGACACTTGAGAGTCTGCAATAGATAACATACATGGATTCCCTTGACTTTGGCCTCCACCAAGACTTGGATACCTCAATTTAAAAAAACAAACACATTTCATACCTTGGAAATACTGCCTCTACATCTACCTGTGTCATAAGCTTTCATCTTA